TACGGCCAAGCCCTCGGTAGAAGACGCCAACAAAAAGGCCGGAGCTGAGGTAGCGGAGGGAGAAGAAGAGCAAGAGTGTAGAAAAGAAGCAAGCGGCACGATTCGCCGCCCAAGGAAAGGTCGAGCCAGCACTTGAGAAACAATTCGAGGCCGGTCGGTTGTATGCTGTGGTTTCCTCGCGGCCTGGCCAGAGTGGCCGTGTCGATGGTTATATCCTGGAAGGAGAAGAGCTAGCCTTTTACCAGCGTGCGATCAGGAAGTAGAGTGGGAGGGGCAGGCAGGGTTGCGTGGGAGTGACGATTGATGGGTTTGGTTGGAGTTCAGCAAATTTTTCGAAAATAAAATTATGTGATACTTTTACAGCACCTGTTAGGGTGGGATCTCTGCAGAGCTCTGAACATTTTTTACCTGTCGGAATGAAATTTTCCTTTTCTATTTCATTTTTGTTAACATGGAATATCTCCCTAGGGCCGTTTCTACCCTTCTAGTTGAGCAAACGTGAAATTCCGCCGTACGTTCAAAATTTATTACGTGTAGATCTCGTAAATATCTCCAAGCGGGTTGAATATCTTCCCATACATTGAAACAACTGTCCCAATCTGGAGCTGTTTTCCAATGGCTAGCTGAAATATTGATCACATGACCGTTGAACCAGCCCTCATTATAATCAAAGTCGAACACGACAAGTTCTTGTTGCTTCCCGTGCCATCGCGAGGCTAACCCCCAACGACCGCTCAGCAAACGTCGTACGGAGTCGGAACACAGAAGGCATGGCGGCGAACAGTCCCCCAAATGAGGTGAAAACCCGCTTCTGCATCATTTCCGATACGCATACATATACGCCTTTGCCACCGGACAATTGGTCTCCATTTCGATTACCTTTCCCCTCCTCAGATGTCCTCTTACACGCCGGCGACCTCACCATGGTCGGGAAGGAGAGCGAGCACCAGGCGACAATTGGCATGCTCAAGAACGCGGATGCAGAGCTAAAGATTGTCATTGCGGGGAATCATGACATCACTCTTGACGAGGACTACTATAATAGCTTCGGATATCGTCGACACAGAACTAGGGAAGACCTGGTTAAGATCAGGGACATGTACTGCGGGGAGGAGGCGAGGAAACACGGCATCGTCTATATGGATGAGGAATTGAGAACGTTCACTCTGAAAAACGGCGCCCGATTCACTGTCTATGCGTCTCCGTACCAGCCGGAATTCTGTCGATGGGCCTTCGCCTACAAGCGTCATCAAGACCGATTCAACCCTGCCGTGGAAGGCTCACAATTCATTGCGCAAAACCCAGTACCCGATTTTCCTACTGTGGATGTTATGATAACTCATGGGCCTCCAAGAGGGGTTATGGATGAGACTATCAGCTGTGAACCTGTCGGTTGCGACCACCTTCGACGCGCGGTTACCCGAGCTAAACCTCGCCTCCATTGTTTTGGCCATATCCATGAAGGATATGGTGCTCAACGAATGGAATGGGCGGGGGAGAAAGTAACGAATATAAATCTTGATCAATCGACCGTGCTCAAGGATCGAGCCTCTTATATTAATGTCAGCCGCGACGGCGCTGATAATCCCTTGAAGGTGGGAGAGGAGACCTTGTTTGTCAACGCCAGCATCGTCACTGTCCAATATGACCCAGTGCATGCCCCCTGGGTTGTTGATATCGATCTACCTCGTTCGGATGATTCATGAAGCATGGAGCCTAAAATCGACCTCGCCCCTTCAGCAAATACTTTTGTTAAGGCCAGGTTTGGTATAATTTCTCTCACGTTATTATACCAATAACCTCTTATTAATTGGATACCAATAGGAGGAGCCAGTCATCGGATCCACACTCTATCCATGGAAGTATGGACAAAATTTGTTTTCTACGTGCAACATCTCACGCAGCAGGTGCGAATAACGTAGACGGGTTCTATCCTCGCTTGGGAGTACCTGCAGTTGTTAGCTCTCCTTTGAGAGATGAAAATTTCTGTCGTTTTCTGGATATTTGCAATCATGATATAGACCCTGTATTGTTTTCGAGTTCATGGAGTTTGAGTTGTTTATCCTTGCGGAGGAAAAACATTGGAACTAATCATTTTATTTACAGTGAAGGTTGTTGGCCTAGCATATGATCTTCCCCAACCCCTTCTTTTATTCTACACATAGTTCGCGGATACGGTTGTATATTTCACGTCTCAACATATTTTTCCACCATTCCTCTCATTCACTGGATACCCCCGCCACACACGCGCAAACCGAAGAAAGTTCATTTTTCTATTTCTATATAATGCTAGCTTTACTTACAGACTTACCTCAATAGCGTTTATATCTTATTCCCATTATATCCCCGCTTCCATTTGGGTCTGTTGCACTTTCAGACTTTGGCTTCCACATTTCATCCCATCAGCAGGGGCATTGAGTTGTCACATTCAATCAAATTCGTCCCCTATTCCCAGCTAACCATTCAGAATAGCAAGACCCAGTCTGGACAACATTGCAGATACCGAGCACAACGAGGAGATTCTATGGATAAACGACTCGCGAGGCTGCGGGATTCCTGTCGCCAGTTCATTCGAGGAGACAATATCAGAGGACTCAATCATTATTATTTCCATTTGTAATTATGTCGAGAATTTTGGTTCGAAATGCCCTATCCTCTCTAGCAATCCACCAGACTTTGAATCTGGGGAGCCAAGTCCCTTCGTAGACTATGTCAAGCTATCTCATATCATAAAGTCGAATAGGGGTAGAATTACTCGAGACGATATTGTCGTTTTTAAAGAACTGGCAAACTGTCGCCGTGCGTATTTCACTGCCTACAACCTCTTTTTCAAATCAGACAACACGCCTCGCGACCTCTTCGCTGAAAGGTGTCAGCTGTTCAAGACATCGCAAATCGTTGTTAAGAATCCGGATAAGTTTACGATCGAGAGTCGACGAGTTATATCCAACCGTGTTAGGATTAATGTGCGCAATTGCGCCGCAGAAAAGAAAATGCACGCCATTTGGCGTCGGGACATCGCTGCATGTACCGCACGGCTTGCAGGAATCAAGCATAAAGCGGCCTCAATACTTCGTGGAATCTGGGACAAAAGCTCTAAATCTCAGCGTCAAAGGAAGAAAACGTCGAACAGGATCGCCACAGGCATTAGGACCCACAATATAGGCGGTAGTGGCGCCTTGAAAACATGCTCTCCTTCCCCTATGCCACGATCAGTGAAGCTGATAACCAGTAATGGTATCTCCAAGAGACGTCTATACAACCTCCAACCCGCAGGCCTAGCTTGTCGGCAATAAAACGAACTCAGTGGATGAGCTAAAGGAAGGCTTTAAGTGCAACGTACCTCGACCATACCACACCCCTGTCCCCTCACCTCCGATTCTCACGACTTCTTAGGCAACCCTCGCGCTTCTCATTTTTGGGAAGGACTAGGGGGAACCACGCCTCATATGCTGCGCTCTGCATGGAGG